ATTTATACTTTTTTCTTTTCAAAATACCAAACAGATCATGCATTTTAGCCATGCCTCATTTTGCTCAATTTGACATTTTTTAGCTCTGTTTTTGCAAGGGTTGATTCTGTGAGCAACAGCACCATCTAGAGGCCTGGCATATGTACTACAGCGTCTCCAGCGCTTTCGAACGGCAATGGCCGTGGCTGTCTCCTCCTGATTGGTGGAGAGTTGGCCCAATAGCCGTAGCGCCACTGTCCTGACGTCAGGACAGTGTTCAAATCTGGATCAGTTTTTATCAGATCCGTTGCAGCCCCTTTTTTAGAGATTTGGGTATGGAGGAAAATAGAGAGGGTTGTGTTTTCTGACACTTGGTGAGTTCCCTGGAACACCGGGGACACATATTCATATATAAAAGACGTACAAAAGTGCATTTTGCATGATAGGTCCCCTTTAAGTGTATTATGTCAAATCACATTACTGTATTAGGTTAGTTGAAAGCAATATTATTAAGTTGAACCAAATATTTTTTATTTCAACTTAATATTATTGCTTTCAACTAACCTAATAGTTATGTGAAATCTGGTGACATAATACATTTCATTAAAGAAAACGTTTTTTCAGTGTGTTAGAACCATGAGGATCTGACATTCTGCAGCATTCTGAGCCACAACATGGGATGTGTAATCTGACCCTCATCTCTTTTCTTCATCCTCTCCAGGTGGTGTGGACACAGCCTCCGTGGGTGGTGTGTTCGACATCTCCAACGCTGACCGTCTGGGCTCCTCCGAGGTGGCCCAGGTGCAGCTGGTGGTTGATGGTGTCAAGCTGATGGTTGAGATGGAGAAGAAGCTGGAGAAGGGAGAGGCTATCGACAGCATGATCCCCGCCCAGAAGTAAAGAGGGACAATCTTGCATTTAACTCACGACCATTCATGTGCAATGGAGCCAGCTGACGGGCGTGCAGAGGAGACAGAAGCTCACCAGAGACTATTGACTCTGCTCGCCTGTGTCTTCCTTCCAGCTTTTTGGTTCCTCTGCCATCCTTCTTTTTTTTCTCGTTCTCCTGTGTTGGTTGGTAACATCCTGGGATCAGCCTCCACTGAGCTGGGCTCGCCTAGCAGACGTGGTATCACCTACTTTTTCTTATGAAAAGTAATGATTATTGACGCTGTTCATATTTCTCAATAAAAAAAGTACCCCATGAAACAACTAAATGGATGATTTTGATGATTTTGTGAATAACAGTCAGTTTAATCTTCATATATTAATACTTACTTTGCCAGAATATCAAAAGCCATGACCAAATATTCAGATTGAGACACCAAAATAAAGAAAAAAAATGCCAACATCAGTGAATTTTATTAATCTTCAGCTCCATGTTTTCCTTATAAACCACAACCACTCAATCTAACTTTACAGTTTGTTTCTGAAGGGAGGAATTAAACAGCAGAGCAGTGTAAAATTACTCATACAGGTCAAACTGTGTGTGTTCTTCAGTCTCTTCCTTTTGCATAAAACATTAACTGTTTCCAAAATCAGTTTTGAAATGACAGTGCATGTTAAATACTGCGCCCCCTGGGGTCTTAATACTGTACCAACCACCATCTAAACCAGACCAGGGACACACTGTCTCTGAGCAGGTACACACACGTTTACTCAACAACATTTTCAAGAATTTTTCACAGTAGATTCCACCTTAAGAAAATGTTCATCCGTCTTATACTAAGAGTGAGTTGTTACACTAAGTTATTTACTGTTGAGCTATTATCACTTCAATATTTTCCACCGAAAGTTTTCGCAAACAACCTGTTCATATTTGCCTTCAGGAGACAGTGATGTGACATTTCTATGGCTTGAATGCAACTCAACATTTTAGGGACTTATTGGGGTCGGTTTAAATTCAAGTTGGAATAGAAGCAAACGGCACAATTTATTCCCAATGTAAGGGTCCTTGCTGAATCTACAACTGAATATTTGTATCTTCACACTGCACGTCGTGATACTTTCCAAGGCATGTCTCAATACTTGTCAGAACTCAGAAACCCATCTTGAGTGTACTAAACCTATCCTCTAGCAAACAAGGTGGAGTGAAATCACTGCATTTCACCACAGCCTTCCTGTTTGATTTTGTGAGCGGGGAAGGGCCAGGTGCTACATTTAGCATAATTTCCTCGTATTAATTCATGTCTATAAAACAAACGTGTCTTCCAATCCTAGGTGCGCATCATGTTCAATTTTTTCCCCTAAAACCCAAACTCTGAAGTCATGCAGGATTGCAGGTTGGTTTTGTTTCCCATTGTCACTGACAGAATCTGTTTTAAACTAGAATGACTTCCCTTGCTCTAGCTATAAATAAACCTTGAGCTCTAAGATATATACTATATTCATATATTATATACAGCCATCAACTGACTGATATAAATCCTGTTTTTTTTTAAATGATATAATTCTAAAAAATAAATAAAGTACCTGTGCAAATATCCACAAATTGAAGTGTTTCACATTTAAGACATTGGCGCCCTCCAGTGGCTAGTTCTTGGTATTACCTGTACAGGTACACTGGAAGGAGCTGATTCAAGTCAAAGCAAAGTGCATTGAGGTCTATATTACCTAATGCTAATATACACCACAATGAGAAACGTCCAGGGAGAGGACAAGGACAGACTCCTGGTGTCCATATGGGTGTCTGCTTCTCACCCCGAGGGGGACAGGTCGACAGCCCCCCCCCTGTTGGGCTTCATGAAACAGCACACATTAACAGGACTGAGGAGATGTCATACATGGGTCTACAATGTGAGATTGTGGATGATGGCCGAGTGTTTCTCAAACGAAGAGCTGAAGAGAGCCACATGTTCATCGTGACGATAGAAAAAGGTCGGTGGTACATACCAAGGTGGTGGACAGCTAAGGTTGGCGTCCCTTTAAATGTAGGGAGTCGGGGGGGGGGGGGGGGGTTATGATGGGTGGGAAAAGGGGGGTGGGGTGTTTAGGGTCACCATGAGCAAAGCCACAACTGAGAGATAGTATTAACAGTAAATCAGCAGCCAAACAACATGATCTCTGTAGCCTACGTAAATATCACAGTACGTTATTCACTAAAAACAGGGAGGGAGAATAGAAAGCCGTCTCAGTGTTTCTGTCACTCTCTATTTTTCTTTAACATTAAATATGAAGGCGCTGGGGGTTGTTCACTTAAAAGGCAACAGGACTAACAAGAAGAAAACACTGTGCACTGCCTTCATCGTGCCTTACCAGATTCAGAACCCCCCCCCCCCCCTCCTGCAGACCAGACACCGAAAGAAGAGGGTGGACATTAGAAGTGCATGTTTCTGTGTATGTGTGTGTAAAGGTGTGTGATCTGAGAGGTCTCGCTCGTGTGTGATCTGAGAGGTCTCGCTGTTTGCTTTTGGTGTTTCCCATCAACATACTGAGAAGCCTGAGGTGGGATCACATGGCACAGAGCAAAGAATTCCACTGATAATAAACCAATCCTACAGTACCTCAGTTATTCTAGGGAAGGAAAGCGTATGGATTTGGCGAGGGCTTGGTCTGCACAACCACCACGTTGGTTTAAATCACCTGAAACCGTGGGGGGCTTCTGTTTAGAAAGATATTCTCAAGTGTGTCACGTCTGCAGTATAATGCTTTTGAAGAAAGGTATGAGATGAAAAAGGGGGGAGGGGTCAACAAGTCTAAATGCTTTAACCAAGTCTTACTGACCGGCACTGACAGACAATGAACCCAGCCAATCAGAGAGCAGCACCTGTGCATGTAGTCTTTAAGAGAAAAAAGGCATTCAATGAAGACAATGGTATTGAACTTATACAACACTATGCAGTGGTGTAAAGTAACTAAGTAGATTTACTCAAGTACTGTACTTCAATACAATTTTGAGGGACTTTACATTTCAATTATTTGCTACTTTGTACTTCTACTCCACTGCAATTCAGAGGTGAATGGTGTACTTTTACTCCACTACATGTATTTAATATATTTAGTTACTGGGCCAATCTGCAGAATGAGTAGTTAGTTTTGGTACTTTAAGTAGATGTTGATAATACTATTAATACTACTAATAGTACAAGATGTAAGTACTTCTTCCACCTTCTGACCTTATACTATTTAGCTAAATCAGCTGTATAGATTTAATGTTGATATCAGTGTAGAAAGAATGGCACCAAAATATTCTCTTTTTCTTCTTTGTATAATGTGTTTGCAAACCATGGGGTTTGTTTCCCAATTTTAGATGTCTGCTGGTCCCATACAGAGAAGTTAATGTGATTGAGTAACGGCATTCTATTGGTTCATGAAGCGGAAGAGGCCCCTGTGATTGGCTGTTTCAAAGGCTTGTCACCCCTCTCCCACTGACCTTAATCCAGTGCACTCGTCACTGATGTATGTTTGCTAATCGGAGCAATGCAACCCTGTGTGGCTACTGTGTGATCACTGAGTCGGACCATATCCACGATTGTGCATCTTGTTGTCCCTAGGTGATGACGAGTCAGCATATAATCATTGGTTAGTGGAAAAATGCTGTGACGTATAAAAGAAGAAGTTAAAAGAAGGAGATGGCTGGTCAGGAGATGACGTTTGTGAACAAAGACCAAAGACCAGAGCAATAAATAACAAAATAAAGAGTCATTATGGCTAGAGTAGCAATAAAAAATATTCAACTAGTATCCATCTGATCCAGGTCCAGTAGGTGCAGTTGCTCAGCTGGCTGAGCTGGGGGGTTGATTGGATGGAAGGGGGGGGCCCTCAGTCTGTGTGACTTTACGGGCCAGGTGTGTGTGTGTATTTGTGTGTGTGTATTTGTGTGTGTGCAGGGGGGGTAGTCATGAAAGAGACAGAAGTCTTTTCTTCCGGGTCCAGCCCCTCGCCTATTATTTTCTCCAATATTTCCAACCCCCCCTCCCCTAGCGCAGTCACATCCACCCTCATTCACGCAAAAACACACACTCAAACACACACTCAAACACATCCTCCATTCAAAGTTCAAGGTCCTTGGAGATTTGGGTGGCAATGTCCCGAAAAGCTAGCGGTGTCCCCCAGAGTCTCGTGTAGCGCACCCCGTTAGAAGTCTCCGAGGTGCCTGTGGAGAGATGGCACACCTCGGCCTCGAAAGCAACGCGGCCCCCCGCCACCCCGTGGCTGCAGGAGAGCAGGAAGGGGCCGGCGTGGTGGACCTGGCAGCCACAGCCGAGCGCCGCCTCCCGCAGAGCCAGAACCACCTCCGCAGGGTCCCGCCTCACCCCCCCCCCTCAGATCCCAGCCACGTCCGACGGCCCGGGGCTCGGACGCTTTTTGATACCCAGGTAGATGGCAACTGGGGAGAGGGGGGGAAATCAGAAAAATGTTTGATGCTTATTTTTGGAGATATTCATTGATCTGTATGATTCAATCAGAATCAAAAAGCCTTTGTCCTACAGTAGGGAGATTTACAGTGTCGAAGGCAGATCAAAAGGCAAAAGGAAAAATAGCAGACTTATTAAATAAAAAGTTAAGCAAATGTTATTAAGAATAGAAGCAAATAAGAACACCATGTTAAAAAATAAAGTAGCATTTTTTTTGTTTAAGTAAGTGAACATATTAAAGTATTGTACGAGCCGGTTAAAAAACATACATATATAAATTGTAACAAAAAAAGGAAATTGCACATATCTGTATATTGCACAATATACTAGCCAAACATTTATTGTATGCTGTTTCTTAGTATCATTATTTAAGTTAATTAAAGCACTTTTATTTTTAAGGCAGATTTGGGCAACAGGTAAAAAATAGTATTTTATGCAAAGGCAGGAGAAGAGGTAAAGCGTTTTTTTAATTTATTGTTTGATTATTGGAAAGAGAATTAACTGCACAGGCTATTCCATTGCCTGGACATTGGATGTACTCACTAAGACTCAGTGTGATTTGAGATTTCTTTGTATTTCTTAGCCACTACACTTATACTACACTATTAAAACAGAAGTGACCCATCATCTATCTTCTATTAATGCTGCTGCAACATGGGAACTGACCTTGTGACCGCAAATCTCCTGATTCCCTCAGATTCATTTGTGACCCTGTGGAGAAACGGACAGAGTGAGAGGTTACACCCCACAGAACAATGAGCCTTCTGAGCCACAACTCTCAATGAGATGTCATTCACTAGTGGATATCAAACCGTTACAGCAAGCAAGCATCAACAACAACGAGCACCTGATGTGCAGAAAAATGTCTCCTCACCTTACAGAGAATCACTTTCTCAAAGTTTGTATAGCATGCACATGTAAATGCAGTCCATTTACCTTGTTTACCACACACTTCCATCCACTCTCAACATCACATGAAATACACATTTAATGATTTTCAACCCATCAACCAATAAAGACTGGTTTAAGCCAGCCTGTAATGACAATGACACTCATCCTGAAAATGAGAGTGAAAACAAACGAATCCTCCTTGAATGCAGCATGCTTGTAAGCGAGTGTGTGGGATCTTCACAGTATGAGGATGATTAACAAGTCATGCGGACGAGCAATAATTCCTAGATAGAGGTATGAGCACGCAGTCAGACAGATGGGGCGGCACAGGCAGACAAGAGAGAAGCCAGAGACATGGGAACTTACTAACTGTTTTTGATCCTTGTGGAAGAGTACAACCCGACACTGATTTGTTTGAGCCCTGGCGCTTGGACGGGTCAAGGTTGACCCTGATGCCATGACAGGGGAAAGCACAAGAAGATAAAGATGGAGAAAAAGAGGGAATACGGGGTAAGAGAGAATATAATTGAATCACAGGGGAGCAAGTAGTGGAAAAGAGTGCAGTGCAGCAGCTGATTGGCAAGGATAAAGCTGAGGTTTGATAAGATTAGACATGTGTGTTTATGACGACAGGGAGGGGGGGGGGGGGGGGGGGGGGATAATCCAGGGCCACAGAAGGGCTTGCCGAAAGGCCAGGGTGATTAAAATGTTCTGATAAGCATGGATCCATATCCAGGCTGCGCTGTAGCTGAAAGGAAGAACTGCACAACAACGCTACACAATTTCATATGATAAATATTGGTTTAATGTGACGCTATTCTTTCGATGACATATTTGAAGTAGGGATGCCAGCGATTATTCGATTTTTCGAATATTCGTTAGTCTCCATAATCGAAAATTATTTTTAAAATTCGATTTTATTTATATATTTTTTTATTATTATTTATGTTTTTCTTTTTTTTTCCTGGCTTAGTTTCAACCAAAATATAGACTAATGCTAATAATAGTAATAGTATTAATAATTGTAAATGGCCATTGGTCACACCACCAGTTTGTTTTACTGTAAACTTGGAGGAAGCCGCAGAGTGCAGACTGCTGCTGCCTGCTGCAGCCTGCTACACACCGACCCCGCCCCCCCCCCCTCCCTTCTCCGTCACACGTGCGATTGATTTATTGGCGATATATAGAACAGTGAGAACAACACAACTAAAGATGAACAAAGAAGAGTTCCTCGTGGAACTACTTCGAACTGACAAGTGCAAATGAAGTCAAATGCAAGCTCTACGAAAATACTTTTTTTTTTCTCTCCCGCGGGGGGCGAATAATCGATTAATATTCGCCAGGGCTGTCCGATTTTCGAATTTGATCATGGTCAGTTTCTGGCATCCCTAATTTGAAGTTTGAGCAGCTGAATCAGCAGAAAATGTGCATAATCTACCCAAAACAAGCAATGCAGACATCAATTGTACCACTTTCTCTGTGAACATAAAAGAACATTTTGAAACCTGTAATCAAATCAAAGCTATGCAGGAAGGAGAGGTAGGACGGATTGAAGCAACTGATAAGGACAACTGTACAAATCTAGACTACATGTCACAAAACTCCCTTATAAACAGTTCGAAAGTGAAATAATAACTGTTTTATTTAAGCTGTAACATAACTTGTTCTCTGAATAGTTTGACATTTTAAAAATAATGATTGTAGACTAGAGTTACATAAGAAGATTGATACCACTCTCATGACTGTATGGTAGATATGAAGCTAAAGCCAACAGACGGTTAGCTTAGCTTAGCACAAGAACTGAAGACCATCTAGCCTTGCTCTGTCCAGATAAAAGATGAAAGAACACCAACCAGGATTCTAAAAGATGTAGTGTTAATACAAAATGTCGATTCTTTAATATATGGATTCTGAATGTAATGCTTTTAATTCTAATTTTCAGAAACAGTACAGCGGTACCAGCCTCTACTCTCACAGCCACACACCACTGCATAGCCTACATAGCACTCGAGTACAGTTAGTACATACTTTTAGTTATTTTAAACTAATGTTGTTACTTACTAAATACATTCTCTATTGCCTTTGTGATGTTTCAGAGGCTGGTAAACATGCTCACTTCCTCTAGGAAAAATCTTGTTTTCATGAATGTAAAAAATAAAATGTTTTGTCAAGGTGTTATATTGAATGATCGTTTTCCCCCTGTGGTATTGGTAGGTTTCAGTTAGAAATGCCAGTTACATGACATCACTGCTTTAAAGACAGCAAGGATTGCCTTTCCCCCATGATTCAAGACTTTATGCTATAATAATCTTCTAGCTCTGGTTTCATATTCATTTAGCTATTTATATATATATATATAGTAGGCTGCACGATTTGAAAAAATAACTAATCATAATTATTTTTGGCTGAAATTGCGATATTATCACAATAATAATAGGGAATGATCATTTTCAAATAAGTATTCTCATTATCATTGGGAAATATATCTTAAGATGATCTTGGTATGATTTTTTAAGAGGATCTGTACCAAACAAAGATATTTAATTAAGTCTGTAGAATAGGATTTGTACACTGGGACATTATTCAGCATCGATCTAATTCAGAATAACTTTTTCACATAGTTTGCTTGTAACAAATATTTGACCTACGATTTAAATATTGCACTAGATCGTGATTTAGAGTTTGGTGTTATTAACTGTGCAGCTCTACTTGAATACAGTCATGAGAGTGGCCTCAGGGCTGAGTGTGTTGGCCTGTACCTGCGGGTGAGTTTGGAGGTTATCTTGGTGAAGAGGTTGGAGGTGGCCCTGGTGCGGGCGTGTGGCAGGGGGCTGGCTTCATGGTGGGACAGGGTGGGTGAAGTAGGCGGGGCCGAGTAGACCGGGGTCCCGCGGTCCCTCAGCTGTCCCCCGTGAAAGGTGCTGCGGATGGTGGAGCCTCGGGTCAGACGGCACCGGTCCGAAGAGGAAGTGGAGGAGGCCGCTCCGGCGGCGGAGATGCTGAGTGTGGAGGGAGACGCTGCAGGCAGGCGGTGGCTCAGGGAGCTGAGAGCGGAGGAGGAATAACGTGTGTTAAAGATCTCCTATCATGCTATTTTTAGGCATGTATTATGGGTCTCAGATATATACAAATATATAAAAAAATGTCTATGATGTGTTTTGCTCAAAATACCAAACAGATCGTGCATTTTAGACATCCCTCATATGCCTCTGTTTCAGCCCTGTTAGAGAAGTGCTGATTCTGGGTCTGTAGCTGATGGCCCCGCCCCCTTTTGAGCACGGCAAGGCAAGCAGTGAGGTCTCCTCTCTGCCTGCAGATTCTCAGCTAAATGCTGCTGTGATTAAACGCCATATTATGTTCCAAACCACTTGAAGGATTATTTCTGAAACACTACAAGGTGAGTTCCTTTTTTTAATGTCCTGCTCTTTTAGCACTGCTCTCCAGTACAGGTTAGCTCTGAGTGTTAGCGATGCTTGCCAATGTAAACAAAGACCATATTACGTCCAAAACACGTCGCACATTGTTTCTGATAGCGACGTTTCTGATAGGGCCGTGGGCGTAAAGCCAGTCCACATTTCCGATATTACGTCATATCGGCAGCAAATCTGGATCAGCTCCGTTGTACCCCCATTTTTAAAGATGTGGGTGAGGAGGAAAAGAGAGAGGGTTTTATTTTCTGACACTTTGTGACTTCCCTTACACACCGGGGACACATATTTATGATATGCTATGATAGGACACCTTTAAGCTGTTGCAGGAATTGTTTTTTATCATTTGGTTTCAAATGAAATATGGAGTCAGTCAACTGGAGTTATAATGACACAGATACACCTGACATGCTTTACCCCCATACCACCAACTAAACACATTCCCTAAATCTGGCGCTCTATTTTAGCTGCATGGTTTGCCATCCCTCCCTCTGCTTTGCCAATACTGCTGCTGCCCTGCTTCTGCATCACTGCTGCCTTTCTAAACCCCACTACCACCCCAGCATCCATCCCAGAATGCACCTGTGAGCTCCCGAAGAAAGTTATTCAATTATTACTCCTTAATACTTTTGCATGCATTGATGAAGCTAGACCCTAGCCGTCAAACTCAAACTCTATGCTGCTGTGAATAAACGTGAATTGTCTGATGAAAATAGACACTTTGATTAGAGAAACTCCCTATTTCCATGTTTTTATGGTACAGTTAATAATTTAATCGTGTAAAAAACAGTAGTAAAAAGGGAACAGTTTTCTTGAATTTCTTTTGGACTCTCCCATGTTACTGGCATCAGCTAAATAATCTGGTACATCTGTATATAACATTGTTTTTAAGTTATGTTAACTATAAACATTATGTTACTTATTTAAATGATATTAGCTTATATTAAATTACACCTCTGTTAACTGTATGAAGGAAGAAATAATATGCAGAAACTGAGCAAGTACTGTAAGCTCCCAAGACAAAAAGCGTACCAGGAGGTTGTATTTCAGATTTTTTCACAAATCCTCCTAATGAAAGATCAATTTAGGACAATACTGCCTTTCCTTACTAAATAATACTGGCAAAATGAGTGGAGTACCCATCTTCCCACCTTCTATCTACCATTGTAGCTTCTATGTCATTGCTTTACGGCAGATCCATAGGATGATGTGTTTGCCTGTTCATCTACCTATGTGACATGTACTGAGAAATGTTAACCCTCTAACACGAACGCTACCTGTTTTCTTTGCCGTTCTGCAGGAGAGATTGTCTGTCAGTGCCCGAGCGGTCGGTGCACACGTACGTGTTCCTGCGCGTCATGGCGCTTCCAGGGATGTTATTCTGCACAGAGGGGAGTAAAGCAGAAGAACAAGTCAGAGTTAAGAGTCACTTTGATAATCAGTGGAACCATTTACACTTAAACTTTAGTATACACCAGGATCATGTTAAAAAGTTACACTAGCACCAAATTGTCTTTTCTCATATCTGATTTAAATGTTTTCCTATGAGGCCTTATAAATTCCTCATATATGTATGTGCATACATGATGATATACTGTACAGTATGTGCATTTTAAGTAGATAGCTGTGCCGATTTTTAAAAGAGGTAGCATTGAACAGAATTGTGCAAACTAACTATAGTCAATATCTTTTTTGCTTTGCCTAAAATGTAGTTATGACTTGGAATGAAGTTGGCTTAAAAGGTGTAACCCAGATGTTGGTAATCATTTATACTATATATGGTTTATAAACAGTCAAACCAGGACAAAAGTTGCGCAGTTGACAGGAAGACAACAAAGTGTAGTTATATGTACTGAAGATGTCTAAATGTGATGATTATGAACCAAGAATAGAAATGAGAAACTCTGCCTTTTCCAAAGATTTCTAAATGGAGTTTTCTGGACATCCGTCACGTACCGTGGTGGCAGTCATGTCTTTGCGGCGGTCTGGGATCTCAGACTTGTTGGGGTTGTTGGCACTGCTGACCATGGGGCTGGAGGGGGGGAGGCTGTGGCTCCCCATCACGCTGCAGCTGGCCTTACGTGAAGGCATCCGGCCCTCCCGCAGCTCGCGGTCCCCCGTGCTGGTGGGGCTCCTCTTGGGGTGCATGACGGGCATGGACGGCCCGCCTTTGTTGTGGAGGACAGCAGAGCACAGACACATAGAGACTCGTATAAGGAATATTCTGCATCAACAGTGGAATACGCCCTCCATACAATGCTAGGCCCAGCATTCCAAGTGAGGATATATGTTATGTTTGTATGAAAAATACATGATAATATTACAATCACAAGGAGAAAACCATCCCAGGCTCCAGGTCTCCTGAATGTAGGGCCCAGAAAGAGGGAATAAAGACGTTAGAAAAGAGACTCACAGAAGTCGCTGTGTCGCCGCTGCCTGTGATAGGTGGAGGCACTGCGCTGAGTCTTGCTATGTGAGGAGGAGGAGGTGGAGGAGGAGGAGGAGGTGCCGGTGGCTGAAGAGTGCTTGTTGGTCCCGTTGGTGATGGGGCTGGGTCGTACTCTGGCCAGGGACAGGCTGCTGGCTGTGCGGGCCTCACTGGCCTCCTGTGATGTCACAACGGAGAGAGAGGAGTCAGGAAGGGAGAAGATGGGTCTCACAGCGAGAAGGAGGATAAATAGGTAATCGAGTACACCAGGGGTTTTGGTCTACCATACAACAACGTTTTGAATAGCAGTTCTGATAAGAGAGGTAGGGTTTCAAACAGTCCAAATGATTTCAACTTCGACCTTGTATATCTCTGACCATCTCTGTATGTATACTTTGCATTCTCATGGTCTCTCTTCCTAAATCAGTCCACTGATATAAACCATACCTATCTATGAACTGGAACATTTAAAGAGGGGGGGCAGGGGTTTGGAAGGTTGAAGGTGAGAGCAGAGGTGTAAGAAATTCTAGGAACTTTAATTTAAGTAAAACTACAAACACTGTTGGTTTTCCGTTTTAAGTAAAAGTCCTGGTTTGAATGTATTACTTCAGAAGAGAAGTATCACCAGCTAAATGTACTTAAAGTATCAAACGTTTGCAGAATTGATCTTTCAAAGTATTATAGAATATTATAATTCTGTTTCTATCACTACCAAACACATTTAAGAGCCTTTTATATCTTGACGTCAGTGTCAAGCCAATTTAAGTGACTTTTAAAATAATGGGTTGATAGTAGTACTACAGTACTGCATCTTACCATATCAGCATATCATTGTGTAAGAAAAAGATAACATTTGGTAGATATATGTGACTCACATCGCCTTTGCGGCCCAGTAGTAGGTAGGTGGCAGTGACTTCATTGTATTTCTGATTAAGCAGAGCATCCTTGATCTCCTCTGGAGTGAAGCCCATCCCCACCATCACCTCTGAGGAACACAAAGAGAAAAGGTTAGAGCCATTCATACAAACATCTGTTAATGACTACTTTGACCAGCAGGGTTGGGAGGTTTACTTTAAACCTTAAAAATGCTGATTTTAAGGTTCATATTTGTACTTTGTGCTGCTACTGTGACATGTCTCCATGCTTTAATGTTCAAAAAGGTATTTTTCTCATACTGCCTGTGCTGCAGCACCTACAGAACATCACAGCGTACAAAGAATATCTCAAATCTGCTCCTTCTCCAAGAGACAGAATATGGTCTTACTAAACTATATGGAATAAGAGAATTCACAAATCAGGTCTCCACCTACTGAACTATTAAAACCAAGATAAAACCAGCCGTTACAGGAGTTATACAGGCCTCACGGTACGTCCACACGGCAGCGTCGCGTTGAAGCTTGCCGGTGGGCGTGTCTGGCGTGCGACCAACAACCAATCACATTAATCTCCCGCCCCGGACACACAAGCACGCGGTTTGATTGGCTAGAGCTTGTACTGGCATATGATTTGATTAGCTGGCGCTTCCGTCGACGCTTGAAAAGTTGAACTTTTCTCAACTTTCGAAGTGAGCAACGGAGGCAAAGCGACGCGACGGAACCACAATGCAGTTCGGCAAAGCGACGCGACGGAACCACAATGCAGTTCGGCAAAGCGTGACGTCACCCCATTCAAAGTGAATGGGAAGCGTCTCCGTTGAAGCACGCGACGCTGCCGTGTGGACGTACCGTCAGGATTCCAGATTAAGCCAGGCTTTAGTTTCCTTATGCTGTTATGTACTAGTTTAGTACATGGAAAAACAACAGTATATTCTTTAACAAATCTGGTCTTTACCTACAGTACTGGATTTAAAAAAAGACGTAATTTAAAATAAAAGAAAGAAAGAACCCCTTAACACTTTTTTCACTTAATATTGTGAGACTCATTAAGGGCTGTATTGTGTGCATGTGCTTTGTAATATAATGTTCCTTATATAACGATGTATTGTAACTCTGTAAACCTGCTAGTTACCCCCATTTTGAAAAACAATTACTTTTGATTAATTATTCAAAGTTATCCGTACAGGTTACAGTTACTTTTGTTTTGTTATATAATTACGTTACATGTACTCCATTACTCCCCCCTGAATCAGCTGTGTGGTGGAGAAGGTTTCTGGGTGAAGCAGCGGACTCACCTATGCGAGCTGCGTCACTGAAATCTTCCACAGGTTCTATGTGGGGTTTCAGGTCTTCCCCCTCATACCCTGCATTAATCCACTTGTCCTTCATGACTTGCTGTACAACAGAAACACAGAGAACATTCAGTTGTGTCTAAAATGAGCTAAGCTACACCTTCTGTGCAGAGTGTACTCACGTCTAGGGTGCAGCGTTTGGAGGGGTTGAGCACCAGGAACCGGCGGAGGATCCCCTCGCAGTCTGTGGACATGTAGAAGGGAACGCGGTACTTCCCCCTCAGAACACGCTCCCTCAGCTCCTGTGGAACACATATCACATGATACCAATGTTAACACAGCAACCATATGCGTACAATCAGGGGTTAAACTGGGATTTGTCATGTGTCGACTCGGGGTAAGGTAATCATTTCGAATGAATCTCATCATTTTGAGGCTTTTTCGATGTTAAATTAGACTGGAATTCCTTTAAATCTTAGACGTATACAATATACACACACTTAAAGAGCAACTACATGTGAACTCATTGAACACACATGAAGTTAAAGGTGGGGTAGGTAAGTTTGAGAAACCGGCTCGAGATACACTTTTTGTTATATTCCATGGAATGCTCTTAACATCCCGATAGCAATTAATATCTTAAGTGCTTTGACAAAAAATCCATTAAAAAATGTCATCTGTGGAAGCCGCAGTACTGTACGTTGATCATTATTGAGATCATGATTTGATCACAATTATTGATTGTGTAAGAGTCAAATATATATTTTATTGCTAATTCACAATGAAATAAACGGAGCATTGCTTTCACTCCCATGTTGTTCTACAATCCTGCTAAAGTACAAACGACGGCTGAACCATAGAAGAAAAAATGGACATGGCAATATTCATTTTGCTGCAATGTGTTTCGCAACATGAAAAATCACAGGAATAATTCAACTTTCAATTTTACAATTTAAATTGAAATGCTCTAATCTGGTGCACTTTGAGAACAAAATTAAGAGGCTACGTTACGAGGATAGACAAAGTAGAGCTCTTGAAAACATAAAAGTATCATAAATTCTTTGGTGGATATAAAGGATCCTAACCCAGCATAAAGCACACACCCTAAAAGCATGGTTAACGAGACGGGCTGCGTGTTAAAAGAAGGGTCAGGTGGTTTACAGACATCGCCACAGGCCCCTCGCCCTGAGGGGAGCCGCTCTGTGAAGCACTGAGGCTATGAGCGGACACATTTTCTTTGTAAACAAACACAAATAGACGTTATATATAAAGCAAAGACATTATTGAAGATGTGCGAGGTCAATGAAGTAAGAGCATGGGTCTTTGTGCCAGCCCGGCCCATTTCAACCCCTGCCTTTAATGCTACTCTAACATTGGGCAGTATGACCGCCATAGCATGATGCATCACGACACTATCTGCACACAGGTAGATTAAGAAGAGGACATTCTGACTCTCATTATCACCACTTTCTTTTGAACTCTAAATTACAGCACATCCAACACTCTCTGATGAGACCAGTGTAATGTAATGGTGTCTGTTGCAAATAACTATCCGGGTCCCTCCCTGCAGGCAGTATGCTGGGGGGCGGTCACATGAGAGGGGTTAAATACACATTTGTCTCCATCCTCTGGTAGAGCTCCAGGGGGCCATTCATTGCCATCTGCCTGATTTAGGATAAAAATACTATTTAAGCTTTTTTAGGAGCAGGTTCTACTACAGGGTGAAATAACAATATAGCAGAGAAGACAGTAGGGTGACTCAGGAATATAAATTAAATAGTTATTTTGTACACATAAACTAATACTGTATAAAGATCCTTTCTTTCCTATTTATTAAAATAAGTGACTGATTTTGAGCACATCAAGCAAGGAACCCCAGACATGTAAGCAGATGTTAATTAACAATTAAAATACACCTTTTTTAACCACTATATCCCCACTAAGATGACATCCTTACATCATTTGGGTATACAAGAACATATCAGACCAACAGTCATGTTTTAAAGAGTAAAGGCTAAGGAACACATAACCTCACAGTTTGTAAAATGTAAAATTAAACATTAGATTGAATGTCATACACACTAAAATGCTTCAGATATTCTGCATATATTATCTGGTGACCAGCATTGCAATCGACAACTCAACTACCTTGCTCAACTGTGCAATCATGATCGCTCATTTACATGGAGGTTTCATTCCAGCACTACAATAAAGGTATGGCCTTTCTCTTAGAGATAATTTTACAGTAACTCATTCTTTTCGTTTACTGTTTCACATTCACGCTTTCATCGATAGCTAGTTTCAGCCACAGCAGGCAGCCGTTTTCAGTGAAAAGCCTCTGAAAACCCAGTGCACACTACCTACCAACAGCAAACAGCACAAAGAGACTAGCTGGTGAACACATGGACGCCTCTAGCAGCTCAGAGACAGATGTTGTTAGCACAGATTTAAAAAAGAGCTGAAGGAGAGTAAACACTGGGCTTAAATTCGACAGGTGTCCAGCAACACAATTTCAGATGCTAATGCTGCTGCAAGTGGACTCATGTGCACACAGGCCACTGGTTGCTAACACCTGCATATAGCTTTGAAGTGGTTCTATCACATCCTATCATCCACTGCAATGCAGGAATGAGTGCTAAAACAGGAATGAGTCAGCATTTAACCACCCTCAAAATGAGACTCTCTCCTCAAAATGAGACTGCTAAACATCATGATTTTGAACATTAGCCGCCTTTAGCTTAGCGGTGTTGATGCCCAGCAATGTGACCCTGTTTAGTGTTTTTAGCCTAATGTTGAGTTTTACTTCTAAAAATGGATGATCCTGCTGAACAATGATGTATGTATCATAAATGTGAATTTGCCAAAGATCCTAATCCTAATTTCAATTAAATGTGCAGCCCCTGCAAATAAAACCCCATACACGGTGTATCTGTGGATAGATTTTATTTTTTAAGAATGTTTAAGCTTAAAGGAACAGTTATTCGTGCTGTTGTAGGACAAATTATAATATATTACTGTACAAAATTAGCCCCTAAGTAAACTCAGGGCCCTGCAGGCACCCTGACAGACAGACAGACAGACAGACAGACAGACACACAGACAGACAGACAGACACACAGACACACAGACAGACAGACACACAGACAGACAGACACACAGACAGACAGACAGACAGACAGACACACAGACAGACAGACAGACAGACAGACAGACAGACACACAGACAGACAGACAGACACACAGACAGACAGACAGACAGACAGACACACAGACAGACAGACACACAGACACACAGACAGACAGACAGACAGACAGACACACAGACAGACAGACAGACACACAGACAGACAGACACACAGACACACAGACACACAGACAGACAGACAGACAGACAGACAGACAGACAGACAGACAGACAGACAGACAGACAGACAGACAGACTGACAGACACACACAGACAGACAGACAGACAGACAGACAGACAGACACACAGACAGACAGACAGACACACAGACAGACACACAGACAGACAGACACACAGACAGACAGACACACAGACACACAGACAGACAGACACACAGACAGACAGACAGACAGACAGACAGACAGACAGACAGACAGACAGCTCCTCCACACATCACTTGCCTTCAGGTTCTGCCCATCAAAAGGCAGCGAGCCGCTGACCAGCGTGTAAAGGATGACCCCCAGACTCCAGACATCCACCTCGGGCCCATCGTACTTTTTCCCCTGGAAGAGCTCCGGGGCGGCGTAGGGCGGCGAGCCACAGAACGTGTCCAGCTTGTTGCCCAGCGTGAACTCGTTGCTGAAGCCAAAGTCGGCAATCTTGATGTTGGCGTCGGCATCCAGCAGAAGGTTCTCCGCCTGAGTCATACATGTATGGATGCAGAGGAGGGGGGGGGGGGCAAGCATGCACAGCAGGAGGCCGAGAGGACAGGAAGGGGACAGAGAACAACACATCCAAGGAGGGAAGGGGGGAGCAGGGTAGGAAATAATGGGATGGACGAGGAGAAGAGGAATGGGAAATTAGGATGGACACAAGAATGGGAGTTGTGAGGAAGAAAAGAGAGCGCGAATGAGAGACAGATGGGGGGTTGTCCAACATAGCTACTGTACATGAGTCATAGTGTATATATGTATGTCCCTGTGTGTGTTTAGGACTAATAATCTATGAGAAAAGGAGCAGAATCTGACTGCCTCATACCCTTTTCAGCTTCTGCACTCATCAGGGCTTTACTGGGCCCTTTTCACAGACACAGATTAAGACTAGTCCCAGATTATACATTTGAGTTCAGTGTAATCTGTCAGTGGAAGAAATGTCCTAGTCTTGACCTAGCCTTAATCCAGCATCTCTGAAAGCAGCCCAAAACATCTTCAGAGCTTCTCACCTTCAAATCTCTGTGGACAATGTTCTTCGTGTGGCAGTAGTTGACAGCAGAAACAATCTGTGAACACAAAGGAATCAACGGAGTTATGGTACGGACAATTAAAAGTGAGGATTGGTACAATGTGGGCATCCATAGGCGATGAATTTGTACCTGTCGAAATTTGGCTCTGGCTTCAACCTCCTTCATTCTCCCATGAGACACGAGGTAGTCAAACACTTCACCTGAGAGCAGCAGAAACATATCAGTCCAGTCGTAAAGACAGAAGCGTAATAGCCATGCCATTATTTGAAATATGACAAGGTACATGTGCTCTCATGGTGTCAACTTCGACTTCAATGTTCTCAATTTTGGAAATACGCTTATTTTCTCCTTAGATTTATATTACTATCATAAGTTATCATTTAATGTGAAGTTGCACCAGATAGCATAAAGACAGTACAAATGGGGAAATAGCTAATGTTGCTAAATGTTGCATTATCGAAATGCACATAAGATTCCCTGGTTGGAGCTGCATTTGTAAAATGGATGTATATAATGTACTGATAGTATTTCTGATGGTGAAGGGAGTTGAACCCACCTCCACTGGCGTACTCCATGATAAGGTAAAGGGTCTTATCCGTCTCAATCACCTCGAACAGCTGTACTGTAGCACAAAACAGATTCAGATTAAAATCACATACATCTCAACAAATCCTGTTCAAATAAAAAACAATAGCACAGCAGTCTGTTTTTCATAATACCAAGAAACCCGCTGCTTATGCTGTTGGTTTTTATATTATCCATATGGTATTTCAGCTCTTCAATTACCACCCTCATGACCTCTGGAGGCCTGAGATGTCACTCACAGCTGGGTCACTGAATGCTCTGAAGCTCATTCAAAGCATTACATTTTGGTCTGACCACACACATGGAAGCATCACCAACAAGCTTGGACACACACACACACACACACACACACACACACACACACACACACACACACACACACACACACACACACACACACACACACACACACACACACACACACACACACACACACACACACACACACACACACACACACACACACACACACACACACACACACACACACACACACACACACACACACACACCCCCCTTACCTATGTTAGGGTGATTTAAGCCTTTCATTATTCGTACCTCCCGAAAGAGCTGGGGAGAAGAAACAAAATATTAATAACATCTTAATAATGTCAGACATTATAAATAAATAAATACAATAAATCAGTGTTCAAAATTGCAATGAGGGCATCATGTTCTTGGCAAGAAATGCTTTTACATTATGGAAAACCATGTATGTTCCCAGACAATGATCATCATTCTGCCTTTTGACCCTGTTTTCAGCTCCAAAAAACAATTGTTATTGTATTTGTTAAACTTGTAGTTGAAATGTGCTTCTTTTAAATATTGTATTCTCTTACTCATCACTATTGTCACTACCTGAGAAAGACATCAACTGAATCTCAAATATGGATCGTCACCAAACTGTTAGAAAATGCTTCTGTCCATTTTTGAGAATTGTAGGAGTACAGAAACTCTTCTGGATGGTGGAAGTTATTATTAGAAGAGTCTTCAATTGGTGAGATGTTTTAGTAAATGCAAAATGTTGCATTTTTAAGCATCTGCAGATAGGAAGATTAACATGGGTCATTACCATATTGTGGCCCTAGTTACTGTATTAGCAAATGACTAAGGGAACTTCAATTTGACATATCAAAGTCTGCAGTTTCTCCAGGATGTGGGGAGGACTACACATACGTGCCACATCTGTAGAAAAGCATTTTATGTCTCCAGATGAAGCTGACAAAATGTTGATAAATGTCCTCAAGTGATGTCACTGGAGTCAGTGCTGGTGGGGTGTGAAGACGTCTGCAAATAAAAACAGATCTGGACATTTTTCGTTTCAATACTGTTTATCTCCTCAGGCTACATTAACGGCTACTAGCATAACAAACCTGAATCTCTGCCGAACCGTTAGCTGTTAAGTTGCATTGAGGGGAATGTAGGTGATTTTGACAAGAAACTACGAGGTGTGAAACAAAAAAGAACAGCTATGTGGATTTGTTGCATTGATGTTCCTTTTTTTAACTGTCCATGATTCTGGACAGGAATTGAAAGCTAAATCGGAGGAGTACAGTACACTTTAAAGATGACATGAAATGGCCCAGTGCCTTCGTTGTTTATCATATTATAGTCTTTATAGCTCACTAATGTGCAATCAATTCTGCTACTTACATTAAATGTAAAACCCCTATGAGATCAGGGTGGAAAAGTACAAGCAGACACATTTATAGAGGACTTAATGCTCATGTTCAGGTTCATATCAGTATGTAGTGTCTCTCCTGTGACATGTCTCCATGCTTTAATGTTCAAAAAGCTCTTTATGTTTCTCATACTGCCTGTGCTGCAGCACCTCTGTTCACCCTCTGTCTGAAACCAGAGCCCAGTCTGCTCTGTGGGAGAGAAACTCCCTCTGGAGGGAACACAGGGATCTTAGCCTTTGCAGACCATTTACATGCACACAAACCTTTAAAGCACACTACAGGGAAGAGAAAGCCCCCAAAGGCACAATAGAGCCTCTTTAAACGTTTGCCTTAAAAATCACACTTTGACTTTCTGGCTCATCAAGATGAGAACTTGCAGAGGGGACGAGAACAAACAAGAAATATACCCCACACACATGTGATGAACCTCAATCAGGGCATCGATTTATACAGAGTACTCTGTCTTAATCTGAACTGAATTACTCAGAGTTTGTTAGAGCAGAGGATGCAATCCCCCTTGGTTCTAGTGTATACCAACAGGCCATGGCTGACTCCCAGTGACTCTCCTCCACATAGTCACCTGGTCACCTGGTCACATGGTCACATGGTCACATGATCACCTCTATACCCTCTTCTCTCAATCCTCTCCTGTTTCCAATGCGCCTCCCTCCATTCCCTCCTCCTTCATTCAATCCCTCCATCGCAGTCTTCTCCTCTAGCAGGGCCCCAACGTCACTGTTGCCGTGGCGACCCAGGTATTAAGACCGGGCTCTTTCCCAGCCTCTCCAGCTGTGCTAGAGGGGAATCTTGGGATATGCTCATCATCCGAGCGCCTCTTTAATCCGCTGCACGTCACGGCAGGGCTGAGCGGTCAGATCCGTCAAAACAATAAACAATCCCCCGGCAACGAGTCCGACCCGGTCACCCTTAATGACTGCAAATAAATAGCAAGCCTAGAATAAAGCTGACAAGGATGGACACGTGCTCTGTGGCAATAAGGCTGGCTTTAATTTATCCCCACAGAATAAAACAAATTGTGTTAAAATGTCAGTTTTATGTATTAATTAATATGATTCTAATTTCTAAATTACACATATTTGATTTGTTCCAGACATTAGATAGACCAGTATGAAAATCTCCTGCTATTTCTTCTAAACGGATGTTGAGGATTTATATTTCACATCTGTGATTTTACCTCCCTTATTCCTCCCCCTCTCTTACCCACCCCTATACAATGCATCTCCCTCTTTCCTTCTCCCCTCTACATATATTACAGATTATGCTAATATGGGCTCTTTCATGTCTTCGGTACTAAGGATTTTCTCTAGCCCACGGGTACGTAAAGAAGCCCGCTATCATGAGCGGCCAATTGTAGAGTATTCTCTCCAATCAGGGGCCAATCCCAGCCTCTCTCCTCAATCCTGGCCTAAATGTTGCACCATTGTCTTTCACAGCAGCAACTGAACCAAGAAAAGCACAGAGCAAGATATACATATATTTTAACAATATCCTAAAATTAGACTAGATACCATGTTACAGAGATGGAGTACTCGAGTCCTGGACTCGGACTCGAGTCGGACTCGAGTGCCGATTTTCGGGACTCGTGACTCGACTCGGACTCGCGCACTGATTGACGCGACTCGGACTTGGACTCGTGAATTCTCGCACACGATGACTTGGACTCGGACTCGGACTCGTGCATTTTTCCCCCCACGATGACTCGGACTCGACTTGTACATTGACCTCCGACTTGGACTCGGACTCGGACTCGAGCAAGTTTTCTATGGAGTCTGATGTCCTCTATCCTGGCGTGTGCACCGGCTGCGAGGCGAGTTCACGTACTGGGCCCCGCTATTCCAGTCTAAAGATGTCTAGAGACACACCCCGCATCTTGCTGTATGCTTTCACACATTCTGCTTCCACATTGGAAAAGAGCAGCGCAAAATGCTCTATGTGGAAACAATATTGAAGAGAAGGCTCCGTAACACATTACTCTAAACATCGAGTTCAGACATATAGGCTGTCTTGAACACTATCATCAGAGTAACGTGATCTAATCAATAAATAAAGATTCAGCCGATAACACGAAAGCACACGGCTACTTAACATGCAGAATGACGTCATTTTGCATGCTAAGTAGCCATGTGCTTTCTGGGGCTAAATCTTTATCAGTAAACCGATTTAACCGGTAAAAGTTCCTTCAAAATAAGAGTCCCGATCTTATTACTATCAAAATAAAAGTGCAAAACGAAAACTTTACCATAGGAAAATATTGGCATACAAATATAATCACTTCTCTAAAAGGTAACTCATTTTAAACATAGTTTATTTATATATAATAATATTAATATTAGTAATAAGCTTTATATTTGTATAGCACCTATTACAAGAATTGTAGCCAAACTCGCTTCACAGCAGTTCAATAGACAGATTAGTATAACATGACAGGATAAAAGCAATGTAGAGGAGCAGCTACATTTCAACACATATATCCACGAAGATTAATACATGAAGACTTGTGACTCGGACTTGACTTGGACTCTTCTTAGGTGACTCGGACTCGGACTCGGACTTGAACACAGGTAATGATGACTCGGACTCGGACTTGACTCGGACACTCCTTGGGTGACTTGGACTTGGACTCGGACTCGAACACAGGTAATGATGACTCGGACTCGGACTCGACTCGGACACTCCTTGGGTGACTCGGACTTGGACTCGGACTCGAACACAGGTAATGATGACTCGGACTCGGACTCGACTCGGACACTCCTTGGGTGACTCGGACTTGGACTCGGACTCGACTACGACTCTCCCTTGGTGACTCGGACTTGGACTCGGACTCGAAGAGTGGTGACTCGAGAGTGACTTGGACTCGTGAATTGGTGACTTGACTACAACACTGCCATGTTATATTGGATATCATAATATTGAACAATTGTTGTCTTTTCTTGGTTTTTAAGGCTGTTTTACGGAAAAGGGATTTCTGTGTTGTATTATGTTTCTTCAGGCTTGGGGTGTAATAAATTACATGTAACTGGATTATTTAATCAGGATGAAATAAATAGGTTACTGTACTCCCTTATACATTTCAAAAGATGTCTTCAAATGACTGTTACATTTCAAAAGATTGGGATTACTAGCAGGACAACAATGTTAGTAAAAACCTAAAAAGAGCATATAGTGTTTGTTGTAAAAGGATCAGATGTTATCTCTTCTCTGTAAACTGTACTGTTCTGAAACCCAAAAGTAATGGAAAGTAATCAGGTCACATTCTTTTTGTATTTTGATACTTAGATTAGGTTACTGAATACTTATTTTTCTCCAGGTAACTAGTGCTAATCAGAGATGGAGTACTCGAGTGCCGATTTTCGGGACTCGTGACTCGACTCGGACTCGCGCACTGATTGACGCGACTCGGACTTGGACTCGTGAATTCTCGCGCACGATGACTTGGACTCAGACTCGGACTCGTGAATTATCGCGTACGCTGACTTGGACTCGGACTCGTGAATTTTTCCCCCCATGATGACTCGGACTCGACTTGTACATTGACGCTCCGACTTGGACTCGGACTCGAGCAAGTTTTCTATGGAGTCTGATGTCCTCTATCCTGGCGTGTGCACCGGCTGCGAGGCGAGTTCACGTACTGGGCCCCGCTATTCCAGTCTAAAGATGTCTAGAGACACACCCCACATCGTGCTGTATGCTTTCACACATTCTGCTTCCACATTGGAAAAGAGCAGCGCAAAATGCTCTATGTGGAAACAATATTGAAGAGAAGGCTCCGTAACACATTACTCTAAGGATCGAGTTCAGATATATAGACTGTCTTGAACACTATCATCAGAGTAACGTGATCTAATCAATACATAAAGATTCAGCCAACACGAAAGCATGCTAAGTAGCCATGTGCTTTCTGGGGCTAAATCTTCATCAGTAAACCGATTTAACCGGTAAAAGTTCCTTCAAAATAAGAGTCCCGATCTTATTACTATCAAAATAAAAGTGCAAAACGAAAACTTTACCATAGGAAAATATTGGCATACAAATATAATCACTTCTCGAAAAGGTAACTCATTTTAAACATAGTTTATTTATATATAATAATAATAATAATAATAATAATATTAATATTAGTAATAAGCTTTATATTTGTATAGCACCTATTACAAGAATTGTAGCCAAACTGGCTTCACAGCAGTTCAATAGACAGATTAGTATAACATGACAGGATAAAAGCAATGTAGAGGAGCAGCTACATTTCAACACATATATCCACGAAGATTAATACATGAAGACTTGTGACTCGGACTTGACTTGGACTCTTCTTAGGTGACTCGGACTCGAACACAGGTAATGATGACTCGGACTCGGACTCGACTCGGACACTCCTTGGGTGACTCGGACTCGGACTCGACTACGACTCCCCCTTGGTGACTCGGACTTGGACTCCGACTCGAAGAGTGGTGACTCGAGAGTGACTTGGACTCGTGAATTGGTGACTTGACTACAACACTGGTGCTAATACACATTTCACGTAATCTTCCCAACCCTGTTTGTCTTTACCACCTTAGTCATTATATCCACATTACTGATGAATATTTATTACAAATCTTGCCGTGTAATTAATGTAGGAAATCGATATGCTCCATATGGCAGAGCCCTAGATAACATATTCATTGGGATTACAGTTTTCCTACAACGCATCTAATATTCCAGCCAGGTATAGTGCACAGATATGTATTTTCTTTCATGCTATAACCAAAAGAAACATGATGAGTCAAAGTCTCAGGATTACAGGAAGCCTGGGATCAGAGGGGCAACGGAGGCTTTGGGGAAACAATGAGAATTTGTAGTAAAGCCTTGATAATTCTGTGACAACCCAAGGTCATCGCTATCACTGCATGCAGAAATGATTAAAAGACCATTTATAAAAAGTCAAAAAGGTACAAATAAAATAAATAGGATCAGAAGGATCGTCATCTGTAATCTCTATTTTCTCTGGGCAAAGCTTTTGTGCCATTTTTACACAGTAAAGTCAATAATAGTAACAATGGGGACTACAGCATTTTCATAATATGTATGACATAACTAAAGGGCTAAAGGCTATTTCCCTTAGCTATATTCTTTAGGGGGGGCAGAAGTTCAGATATGCCCCTTCTATTTGAAATATACATCTTTTGAATCTGTGTAGCAAAACATACAGACATCTTCAAAACTAAATCACAAATATAGACACATCAAATATTTGTTCAGCCCTGATTTGATCCTTCTGGTCTTTTCCCTTATTGCCCACAGGCAGAGTAGCTCATGCATGCTGAGGGAGGAAAGGAGATTCGAGAGAAAGGGACACACTGTAAAGGAAGACACTTTAGCCCATATGCGCATTTAAGCAGCATTATGGGCAAAGACGGGTTGATTGAATGTCTCTGCATCCTTTGTCTCCCGATGTCTTTATACACATTCCCTAACCACAAGACACTTCTTAACCTGAACTTGTGTGATCAAGATAGTTGTGCTCCGGATATAAAGTGGCGATATCGAAGCATGTGATCAACCTATGATTTATAATGTCTATGATTTGGGTCTGCATGTCTACCAACCAAGATCTACTGATGTTCGCCATTCCAGATCCTGAAATGAAATGAAACGTGCCTGAGGTTGCCCTTGATATCTAGAGAAACCAAAGTGTCCACTGTTGTGCCGCTGACCTTCATGCACAACAAACTTGAAGCGTCCACCACTCAGGCTAAACACACAACTTGCTGACCAGCAGGAAATACAAATCCAGTCAATCAAAAGCCCTTCTTAGCATCACAGCATTCATGGCTATCCCCAATGTTTTGGAAAGAAACATTAATAACCCGAAACACAGAAAAGGTTTAGCTGGGTGACCATGTTTCCGACGTGAGTCACCCCGCTCTCAGGGCAGAGATTATTCTGGAGAAAGACGTGAGAGGATCTCTGGAGCGGGGGTATCCTCCCAGTCCCTAGCACCTGCCAAACAGCATCACCCCCTCTCCATCAGCTGCTCTCTCATGCCTGCCCTCTCCGAGGAGGAAACAGCTGAGGATCAACCTGAACCTCTCCAAGTCCCCAATGGCATGTCAGGATTTTGTTGAATTACATAATAAGGAGCAAACTGTTCACATTTCTGATGCCCAGCTTCTGCAGATAGCGTCAGACAGTGGAGCATGTTCATATCAGTATCAAAAGAGGAGACACTGACCTTTTGAAGGCTGGTTGGGTTCAACTGAGTTTTGTCAATGATTTTTATTGCAACCTGGAAGAGATGTCAAAGCAAGTTTTTGATGAGGAAAAGGAAACACATTAACATCAGCCTTTGCTTAAACACAGCCTCCATTCATGATGCTCAGAAGCCTTTCCTGATGATCCAATGAACACCTCTACGTACCCTACCCTATCTTTGCCATCTTTTATGAACAGCTTTACAAATGAATCATTTACTCAAGCTTTAGCTACAAGCCATTTACATATACAAAATTAGGTAATTGTACAGTTATGCTATTATTGTTCATAACTGATCTATAAAGTTGTATTTAATGACTTATTTAACAATAAAAAGCAATTAGCCATAACGTATACAAATGTGGTACCCATTTATGCATTTTTATATAATTTCAGTGAATTTAAATAATGTCTCTTATTATAATTTATTTGGTTACTTCTGCTGTCAGGATATCTCCAGAGAATTTAAAAGTATGCTGACTTTTCCCAAAAATATTTAGAGTAGGAAAATGTCTAATTAAGGAGAATAAAAAAGAAGGTAAGACTTCTACTTGTTTTAAATATGGTGAAAACTAAAATGTTGCAGATTTATTGCTGGACCAAATCCCATCTGTATGACACCGTCACCTTTCCTCCCCCTGCGAGCATCATCCATCCTCCACCCATCCATCTCCTCCTCCCACCATGCACCTCTGCTGCCCCATGTCTCACCTCCTTGCCTGTCAGGATGTGGCGGGCCAGCTTGACCTTGGCAAAGTTTCCCTTGCCGATGGTCTTGAGCAGGCGGTAGTTGCCGACGTGCGGCTGCTCGTCGGAGCAGGAGGCGATGGAGATCCTGCTCCGGGCCCCCAGCGAGCGGCTGGACTGGCTGGTGGCCTTGTCTGAGCGACTGGCCCCCAGCGACACATGCTGGAAGAAAATAACATGAGAAGGGAGAGGAGGTGTTAAAGAGAGGAGAGGAAAGTGGTGAGGATGGTCACTCACTGTGCCAACTATGGATGTATAAGGAGAACTGGATACAGCGCTGGAGGTGGGGCCCCATTCATTCCTATAAATGTTGCCCAGTGGCGCATAAAGCCTAATTGGACTGGCTCTAGTACAAAAATACCTTGATTATCTGAGGACTCGTATAGCATGCACAATTGCGTTTTCCTCTAGCCCCGCCTCCAATCCAATGGAACATGTCAAGTCTAGGCTCAATAGAACGAAAAGAGTGGGAAGTAACTCTGGATTAGGCATTTAGCGCATTTTACAGCTAATGATTTAAATCACTATTCAAGTGTCAGTTGACGTTTGGCCACTACAAGAACAAGCCTTTACGCCTGGCTCACTTCCTGTGTGCCAACACCAATATAACATGGAGAAAGGCTTCAGGCTTCCAAAGCAGATCGAGGACTGCCTGTTCCCACCATCAAATCAAATCAAATCAAGTTTTATTTATATAGCACATTTATAAACGATAAACGACCATGGAGCCCTCATGGTCTTCAGAAGCTAAATGACCTGTGTTAGGTCCTCCTGTCTCTGGGTTTTGTTCTTACCCTTATTTTCCTTCAACAAAGCAACTTTGAAATACATACAGTGCCAAAAACAAAATACAGGAGTGTGCATGATGTCCATTTGCACCTTTGTTGTTTTTTGGCAGTTACTAAAGTGATGTAAGCAAATGTCCAGGAAGCTCCAGTCACACTGTGTCATTGCTCACACTGAGTATATGTGTAAGGCACCAGGCAACCTTTTATTTAACAGATGGGTGTATCTCTGACATAAGATGCACCGGTGAACAATCAATTAATAGATTTAAAAGTGACAAGTTTCAATCATTACATTACAGTCAGCGTGTGTTGAGTTGAGAGAAGCTACATGTGAAAACATGCCCTTCATTTGGGATTTAGCAGCTGGTGTTCAGAACAGGAACATCTTGTTTCCATCATGATCATGTTTTCTGGAGGTCTACTTTCTGCTGGAAGATGTCCTCATTTAATATGACAGAGTATACAGGTTTATCACTGTTTATCACTGCAACCTGAGTTAGTATTCACAGCTCTGTAAAACAGTTTCCTGCTACTGCTGCTGCTACTTCTGCTATTACTGGTGTGAGGAGTGCACCGATCTTGTTCTTAAGTAAAAGTAAAATTCCAGATACACTTTATGAATCCCTTACCTTTGGTAACCACTCTGTTGTGTTTACACACCTCGGCAGTGGCCTTGAAGGTGAACTGGCACCTCTCCAGCTATCACTCCATATTATTATTTTTTGGTCCGATCTGGACGTGAGCCTGCGACCCTTCGGTTCCAAGACCAAGTCCCTACAGACTGAGCCACTGCCGCCTCTAAAATACTCTGTTACAAGTAAAGGTCCTGCAATCAAAATGTTTCTCAAGTAAAAGTACAAAAGTATTCGCATCAAAATATCCCAAAGTAAAAGTAGTCATTGTGCAGATTGGTCCATTTCAGAATAATATATATGATATGTTTTATAATGATTGATCATTAAAGTGTTCTCAAAGCTGGTAAAGGTGCAGCTAGTTTGAATGACTTTGTATACTGCAGGGTAGCTAGCTTGTGAATGTACTCAATGTGTAAATCTGATTTAAGACTTGATTATATTTCACATCATTAATCCAAATCTGTAAAGTAACTAAAGGTATTAAATACCCGTAGTGGAGTAAAAGTACACCATTTACCTCTGAATTGTAGTGGGGTAGAAGAACGAAGTAGCACAACATTGTAAGTCAAGTAAAGTAAACAAGTCCCTCAAAATGAACTAACTAACTACAGTACTTGAGTAAATCTACTTAGTTACATTACACAACTGTACTACTGCTACTGCTAATGCTGCTACTGCTGCTGCATCGCATCAGAACATTGGAGTCACAGATCATTTTCTTCCAGGAAACCAGGAGCAGATGACAAATGGAGGACAACAAATCCCACAAACAAAGCTGGATGTGTTACAGTATGAAACAGCTTCTTGTCATGTGACAAACCAGGGAACGGTACAGAGGAGGAAAGACAGCGAATACATGGTGGGGGTAATAAATAAATACAAATAAATACCAGGAGAGCGAGAAACCAGGATATCAGACAGAAAATGGGAATAAGAGAACCAATGAAATAGTGGAGAGAGGAATATAGGAGTAAAAAAGGAGCAGATGCCGGCACAGTGGTCCCTGGCCCTAAGGCATCACACTTCCATCCCCCCAGCATGCCATCTTGCTCTCAACACACACACACACACACACACACACACACACACACACACACACACACACACACACACACACCACACACACACACACACACACACACACACACACACACACACACACACACACACACACACACACACACACACACACACACACACACACACACACACACGCAGCACCTTCACCCTCCTACCCATGCTTCCATTCCTGTTCCTCATGCCCCACCTAGAGCCAATGTGGCCCCTCTCTCTCCCTACAATACACACCGGCAAGTCCCAGCCACCAGCTCTGATGGGTGGCAGCAGCTCATTCATTCACCAAGTGTACCAACATGGCAACACAACATTTCATCCAGTCACTCCAACTCATCTGTCATCATCGCTTAATTGTGGAGTGATGACAGCAGATCGAGATCCATCTTAATGGAAGGAAGGGCTCTGCATTCATAATCAATCATGCACAGTGTAAGCTCACACACTTATGCACACCCAGTTACAGTCAGTCAGTCACACACACACACACACACACACACACACACACACACACACACACACACACACACACACACACACACACACACACACACACACACACACACACACACACACACACACACACACACACACACACACACACACACACACACACACACACACACACACACACACACACACACACACACACACACACACACACACACACACACACACACACACACACACACACACCAACTGGCTTAACCATCCCTCTGTGCTGCTAACAGACAGATGGGGGAGTCTTGCCAGAAGTGTTTAAGGGAGAGAAATGCCATCATGCCAAGCCTTCATGTCACCATTTTGAGATAATTAGATAGATAGATAGATAGATAGATAGATAGATAGATAGATAGATAGATAGATAGATAGATAGATAGATAGATAGATAAATAGATCATGGTGCAACATTCTTACATTCTGTGTTTCTCCCATGAACATATCCTCTGCGTCTGTGTCTATTAGAGGCCTCTACTGTTCTCCACTGTACTGGATGTATGGCGCTGTCTGACACCCACTGCTCTGGGGTTGGGCGCTTTGTAGGCTGCGCAGCAATGGACTGCACATCATTTTACGCAGTAATCCCCGTTTCATACCAACCACACATTTTCTCTATACATTTATTTTGGGCTCTCGTCCCACCCATCCATTTTCTGGAGACGCACACTGTTATATATATTGAGGCAGCAGCAGCTGGCCTTATAATAAGAGGTGACGGCTGGTTTTCAGGCTTTCTGCGCATATCCGCTGAGTGTTATAGTATGCGGATGGACTCATTCCGGGCTGTTAGCCTGCCATCAGTTCTTGCCTGCGCAGACACTCAAGGTTAGCCCATTTTCAAAGATCCTGCTCAAATATCCACATAATATCACCTGCAGAATCCTTCCACCTAATGGGGAAATTAGCTCCATGACCCTACATGGAGAACACACCCCGTGAATGCAAAATCCCACATATATGAGGAGAACATTTCAGGGATGCACATTTTGTCTTATGCATGCACACCATCGGAGGCTATAGGCTGTAATGCACTTACATGGTCTCCAGTACTCCTGTCGTTTCCAGACGGTAATGCAGACCGAGAAGACATGTTGTTTTCTCTCTCCTCTTTCCCTGAGTGAGAATCAAGGTGTGTTTGCGCGGATGATAATCACAGGCTCCACAGACCGAATAACATCCGCAGATGCGACCCACCGTCCCGAATCAATCTGCCTCTTCTCCAGCCGGCCGAGCCGCGGTCGAGGGGAGACGTCTGCCTGTCATGGCAGCAACGGGGATCTGGAGGGGGGATGTCCTCAAACAAGCTGCATTTTCCACCATGCACTTTGCAGAAATATGGCCGATCAACGATGCAGCAAATGCAATGCAATGCAAATCCCGAGCATCGAATAAGTGCTAAAATGCGGAGATGTTTGGCCGGAGCCCAGCGTCTCTGTGGCGTCTCTCCACCCCCTGCCTCATTTCGCCATACAAAACAAACACGGTTCCTTCTGGAAGAGTGTCATCTCCCTCTGTCAGAACCCTGCCCGGTACAATGCCCCCTCTCCGCCGGTAACCCTCTCCCCTTTGCAGCAGCTCGCAGGAAAACACAGCTTACGGTGCAGCGGGGGAAAAGGCCGAAATGTTCAGAAATCGGTATTCCCGGTCGGTGAGATGCGCACCGCCGTGAAGCCAGGAGGAATACACAGAGGCAGGACTTCCGGTCTCTGCTGTTGAAAGCCTTTGTGAATTAATGATAATTCATAATCAATATTGATGTCTATTTTTTTTTTCCAGCTATAATTACTTTTAGCATTTAGGAAGACACAGTTGTATCCAATTTTGTTTTGTTATATTTCAATGTTATAGTCTGTAAAATGTGTAAATATGTACATTAACATTTAATTGAATTATTGCAGTGCATCGTCATTGCTGCTCCCTCTGCTTTTATTTATTTGTGTCTATTTGTATTACTTCAGAGAGAGATATCAACGATATCATACAATACCTATATGTATGAAGACAATAAAGATATTTTGATTGTGTTACAATACATTTTGGATTAACTCAATAATTCAAATAAATACTGGAAAAAGATATCAATAAGATGGCTTTTATTTGAGTATATTCTGTGTAAGACAAGATAACTATATAACCTTAGAAAATAAGAAACCAATATGTTTTCTCTAGAAATGTGCCCTCTACTCAGTGTTTTTAAAATAAAATAAAAACCTGCCTTTTTATAAACATATTCATGCAGAAACGTATAGACCAACAATACAATTGTACTACACATGACCCAATAGTAATGTTTTAAAAGAAAAAAGAAAATCTGTGCGCATCTTAAACTATCGATATCTATTTTAAAATGAATTTTACCTTTGTAATGCTCCTAATGATACCCAATTTTAAATTAAAAGATGTTGTTTTTCTTTACATATAGAAATAAATAAAGAAATGTGTTCCACTGAATTAACGACAAACGCATATAAGTCACACTATAGGATCCAAGCAATATTGCATTTGAAAACAATTTTTAAGACGAAGAGTTGAATGATCTTTATACCTTTAGTCATAGCTCCTTTACAATCACTTTGAATTATTTACCAGCCTGGTTTGCTCATATGTACACTGTATATATATTTATCTATTAACTTGTAAATTACTGGATGCAATTGTGTTCTTTGTCACATTGTATTTGCATATCAAATTGATGTACATTTCTTCTGTTTTATTAGATAATAATATGATAGATCAAGTTCTTCAAAGCCACAAATGTCTTGATTTTATTTTGAAAAACCCAATGTCTTCTTTTCCTGTCCGATCTGTCTCAGCATATTTCCCTTGACGCAGTTGAGATGCGCCACATCAGAGATGCTCACAGGTTCAACACAACACAACACACTGCCGGTTTCACCAACGTAGATTTGTGCGTAAAATTAGCATGAACTGTCAAAGATGGCCGAATACAGGCTCAGCATCCACATCTCTCATTCATTCAGAGTGTTCTGCTTTTATATGATGTGGGGTTTATATCGGGTAGTATGGCAGTAGCCTGCACCAGGGAAGAAGCCAGCTTTACTGAGAGGCAGTGCTCTTCTTTCAGATAAAGCAAGTCATTTGAACAGACAGAGGTATCTCTTCTTATTCAACACCTAAAACCCTGTGTCTGCAATGCAAATTAAATCTAGACTGGAAATTGGTTCATCCTTTGCCTCCTAAAATTGGCTTCCTATGATATCCTCTCCCCCTCAGCACACACACAAAATACTGCATGGACACACTACCAGCTGGCGGGGCTTTTAGAGGTGCAAAATACATGAGCAATGCTTATAATTCACTCTTCCTCTGCCTCTCTGATGGTAACATTCCCACTGGCTTTGTAATTGCATATTACAGTCTCACAGTGATGTTATATGTATCCTGTGATAATATTCATGTTCTATACCTTTACCTTCATTGAATATAGGCTACCTATAAGATTATGACTTCTGATCCCTTTTTTAATTTAGGCTTATATATTGCAGGTGCTTGCATGTGCAAATCTTGCAAACATTTTAGGGCACACAATGGCTTCTGTTCCATATGTGCACCATCCATAATCATGCTGTTTCCCTCTTCACTGTTTTGAGATTCCCTATGAACCTTCAAAGACCCACAGGTGCCTGTCTAAAGGGAACATTGACAAATGTGGGCTGAATGAGGCCATTTACTTTACCTGCATTCTGCCCAAATGTATCACTAATACTAACCCATGCACTCTCCCATGAAAAGTGTCATGGCTTGTATGGGGTGTCGGTAAGGTAACCGGAAAACTGCAAAAAACTCTCACTTGACCCGTTACCAGACCACCTATCCTAACATCTTAACATTTGAGGTCAATGTCAAACCTTAACCATCATGTCTAGACAAGACATGTACATATGTTGCACATGTAACATTAAGCTGTCTGTGGCTCTTTTTCTGCTGTAACAACGTACATTTCCCCTCTGTGGGAATTTTGTTTATACCCATACTGTATGCATGGGGGAGTGTGTGGGAGAGAAACTCTCTCTGGAGGGAATTTGGAGATTTTAGCTTTTGAAGACCATTTACATGCACAAAAACCTATACCACACTACAGTAAAGGAACACACCCAAAACAGCATAAAAGGGCTCCTTTAACTGAAATGTATGGAAATTCTGAGAGAAAAACTAAAAGCTGTTGTGCTACTAAAGACAGAAGACACTAGGGGCTAAAACCATCCCACTATGGAAAGAAGTTTCTATATCATTCATTCTGTTTTAAGTGTTTATAAACACATGATGGCATCCTCTTTGTGCAGCATTGGTGCACTTGTGCTAGAGCTTGCAACTGGCACCACTCTGCCGATTACGTAGAATCGTAGATAGTCAGTGGTTCGATTCCCAGCCCCTTGAGTGAACATGTAGATTTATCCTTGGGCAAGATACTTAACCCCAAGTTGCTCCATATGGCGTGACCATTGGTGTGTGATTGTTAGGTTCCTTGAGCAGGGGCAGCTTGGCAGCCTCTGTCTCTGTATGATTGTGTGTGAATTGGTGAATGCTGACCAGTATTATGGTTTGTGCCAGAGGGGTCGTAAAGACTAGAAAAGTGCTTTATAAATGCAATCCATTTACCATACATTTAACACTTTTCTTTCACATTGCACAATCTACATGTAGTTAGTTGCAAGCAAACTGTACGATTGAAGTAGAAAAGCATGGTAAAAAAGCAAAAAGCTGTCAGTTTTACAAGTGATAAAAACACGTAAGAACAATGACATTGTGAACCTAATGGGTTTTGAATGTGGCTACAACAGTGAGCTGTACAGTATCTGCATTTGTAGTCTTTTATTATCAAATATACAATTTCATCACAACATTTTTTTAGATCATTTTATTTTGTTGTTTCTTTAATTTATTGTGTTTTAAATGTGATATTTTTGTAATGCATTTCCTGGTCTTACAAAAAGTTGCATGAGCACTGTGTTTGACAGGTGCTTTCCAAATAAAATCAGCTTTTTTTATGAAGGCCCTAGCAGTTTGGTCTTGTCATGCCACACACAAGCCACCAGAGGGTGTCAATGTGTAGCTGATCTCACTAATCATTGTTTTCTGGGGAGGTGGAAGTGCAAAACATTTACAAAGTTTGAAATTGGATGCTATTGATTATGATGGATCATTCCATATAAACAATATTTGACCATGTGCTTAAAATAGTAATTACATTTATATTCATCAAGCGGGACACATAACTTGTGCTCATTTGGTAGTGTTACCATAGGTGTAGTACAGTATAGTGTTGCTACCTTGTTATGCTATAACATCTGCTAGCCTGTAGGTGTCAGCACTGAGCTTCCATACAAAGTTATTACCCCCTGTGTTAGGTTGTGTCAGGAATGTGCCCACTGCCCCTCAGCTTGTGTCATGATGCACATCAGTCAGTGCGTAACACAAGCAGCAGAAGGTAGGGGTGATGTACAGATGCACTGATGGGTGTGTACGAGATGAGCAAGTTCATGTCAAATGAACCAATTGTTCAGTTTGTGAGGGCAGGTTTGTGGCGCACCATCAGCAGGGGAGAGGATGTGCAGTCATTAGGCCCACACTTTAACCTTCTGCTGATGACTGATGGACGGGGTCATGAGGAGGTGAGAGAATCTGCTGAAATCTCATGTTGCATTCACAACCCATTTTGGTCAGTGGACTTTCAAGCTCTTAAATCCTTTGAACTCATCCCAGACTGCAAGAAAAATGCTGATGTTTGTATAGAATTGTACACATGAACTACAAAGAAAAAAAACCCAATGCCTGACACTAGGAATGGATGTTACTCCCTAAATGTACTGAGTTGTTAAAAAGGTATCAGATGGCAGAAGATATTCATGTTTCCTGGCACATTGCATGTCTTTTGGAAAGCTCAAATCCTTCACACTAATACAGCTACACTCTAATCCTATAAAACTCCACTAGAGCTGAGGCAGCAGCAGGATTTCTGTTATACTGACAGCCACAAGAAATCATTTTTGTGTTCTCTATTTAATGTTTATCAATATATTTCAAACCTGTTTAAAAGAAGTTTGTGAATCACTATTTCATCACAACCCAAGAAGTTGTTGAGGATCCGGGCTCCAGATTGATCAAACTGCTCATATTACCTTTTATACTGACTGCCAACTTTAGTTCAAAATAATTTTGTTGTTCTTGAAAGTGACCAGTTTGTAAATGAAGATAATAACACAACAGACTGTGCAAAGCTCAGTTATATACAGTTATTATCGAAAATAGCATATAACAGGCTAGAAAGTTATTGCATTATTATTCAGCCTTAAATGTTGCTTCTTTGTGCGTCTTTAGCAACCTTTCCAACGCCTGGCTTCGATTCGTGGACCAAGGATTGGAGCCTCTATTTGATAAGATTGGTAAATGAGACTAGGCGCACCTCAACCTGCTGCAACACATTCATTATGCTAACAAGTTCATGCTGGAAATATAACAAAGCCATGTAATATACAATGCAACCAATTGGACACAATGGTTCTGTTTCTTTTGATACTTAAAGTTTATTTGTTTAATCTGAGTATGTTTTTAATTGAGGTATTATAACATTTCTTATTGTAAAGGAAAATTCTTTCACCACTAGATTTAAATTCTAAATGAGTAGATTGTATTCTGAAATTGCCAAGACTATTTATTTGTACTTTTCCACAGGTTATAGTCTTATCAGCGTGATTGAAACATATCATTTAATCATTAAGTAATAGTACATTCAGTGCGTCAACAATGCTGTTCGTCATGTCTAATTTCATCCTGTTTAATGG